TTTGACACAAGGCATAAACGACACATGACGTTTGTGTAGAGATGTTGGTTTCAAAATAACGAAAACGGTTCCGATCGTTACAATGTTTGGGTCCAAATAACGAAAACGGTTTTAACCGTTACACCAGATGGACTCGAAAGTCATTCCAATTGGAGGTATAAAGGTATTTCTTTTTCTACTATTTGAGTGCTAGCTTTGATTAAAACAGAAGAGTGGTCAGAAGATAATTCAAGGCGAGATTGTGCGTCTAAGCATTCTTTTGGAATACCCTTGTAAAAACCAAAGTCAACAAGGTCAGGAGTTATATTCCTGTCAGTCGGCCAATAAGTTGATTCACCAGTTGATATAGATCTCAAGCCTCTATTTGTCATAGCTTTTAGTAGTTTTTTACCTTTAGGGGTTATTAATCGGGAACCCCATTGTGTGTGCTTGGCGTTATAATCACCGGCCGCAATGAATCTATTGCCAAGTATAGTAAAGAACTCCTCGTATTGTTATTCTGTGGCGTGGTGGACTATATATTGCGGAGATTGTCAGTCTTCAATGCTTATGTTGATTGCCTGTATGTGATATTTTGAGTATTGGTTTAATTCGTGATGCTTGATTGTGGATTTAATAATAATTCCGGTTCCCCCGTGGCTAATCATATGTATTACAATGAGTGGTATCGGAATTATTGATATTTGCATAAGCTAACGAAACTTACTGTCAAAAATTAATTTCATAGTCCGAGGGATAACTGAAATTAATATTTGAAAATATATTTTGTGCATTAGCTCATATCATTACCGATAGTTCCGATACTAAAATTTGTATTTAATAATAATAATAATAAGAAACGTCTTTATTTTAATAAGCCTCGGCGGAGTCCAGCATAGCTGTTCCCCTCAGCCGAGTACCAAATACAAACATTTCATATAAAGAAATATACATTGTTATTTAGATTTAAATTATTTAATATACATTTTATGTAGACATATTATAATGCAGAAAATTAACAATATATAAACACAAACTTTAAAACAAAATACATTTTTTCAGTAATTTTTTAAAGATTTCTAGAGATTTATTTTTACATTGATCAGGTGGAAAGTTATATACAGGGTGTTTCAGATTTAAACGGACACAGCTTAATGGGAGGCAGAGTACACTTATCTGAGTTCAAAACACCCCTATACTTTAATTTTACTCGTTTCTGAGATATAGGGTGTTTTATGACTTTTTTCCAAAATTAAAATCGGCCATTTTGTTTGAACGGCCAGAGTTATTTTGATAAAATTTTGTACAAAAGTTACACTCTCTTAGGTTAATAAAAACCATAATTTAATTTAAAAAAAAATTTTTTTTTATATTGCTCTTCTTAGCTGGAATATCACCCTGCATATCGGATTTTAATAAATGTTGCTGCACATTTTAATAGTACATGGATCAAAAAATGAAATAATGTAATAATATTTAATGGCACCATCTTGATGTTCTTACAATAAATTTTTATAATGGCGACTACATTATTATAAATCAGTACTTACAAAATTAAAATCAAATATTTGACCCTGTACTTTTAAAATTCTACACAAATTAGGTACCACCATAATTTATTTTTAACTACTGCATTTTCCAATAAGAAATTGAACATCTACACAGGACCGGGCTCACTTTATTTGATAAAGTAACAGAACAAACAGAAACAAATAATTAATTTAAACTAAAGTAAATTTTTAAAATGAACACCGTCAACGTCAATACACCTCTGTGAACGTTTTATTAGGTTTTTCACTGATTTGTCAATTATTTTCTGTTTATTTCTAATGTTGTTGCATACATTATTAATTTTTTTCAATAACTGTGCTCGGGTATTCATTTCTTCGTTGTACACCTGTGATTTAAGATAGCTCCAAAAAATATAATCCAGAGGTGTTAGATCTGGAGATCTTCGTGGCCAATTGGCGGGACCGCCTCGAGTTATCCAGCGACTTGAACACACATTAAATGTTTGGTGTGGAATTTTTAAAAAATCACTTAATACCCAAGCACAGTTAAATCATCGTTTCCCAAATTGGCCACCAAGATCTCCAGATCTAACACCTCTAGATTATTTTTTATGGGGCTACCTTAAATCAGAGGTGTACAACGAAGAAATAAATACCCGAGCACAATTATTGGAAAAAATTAACAATGTATGTAACAACATTAGAAATAAAGCGAAAATAATTGACAAATCAGTGAAAAACCTGTTAAAACGTTCGCATAGGTGTATAAGCGTTCACAGTGTTTATTTTGAAAATCTACTTTATTTTTAATTAATTATTTATTTCTGTTAGTTTGTTCTATTACTTTATTAAATAAAGTGAGCCCGGTCCTGTGTAGATGTTCAATTTTCTAATGGAAAATGCTGTAGGTAAAAAAAAATGAAGATGGTACCCAATTTGTGTAGAGTTTTAAAAGTACAGGGTAAAATATTTGATTTTAATTTTGTAAATACTGATTTATAATAATGTAGTCGTCATTATAAAAATTTATTGTAAGAACATCAAGATGGTGCCATTAAATAATATTACATTATTTAATTTTTTGATCCATGTACTATTTAAATGTGCAGTAACATTTATTAAAATCCGATATACAGGGTGATATTCTAGCTAAGAAGAGCAATATAAAAAAAAGAGAGTCCGGATCTGGAATTTTTTAAAATTAAATTATGGTTTTCATTAACCTAAGAGAGTGTAACTTTTCTACAAAATTTTATCAAAATAACTCTAGCCGTTCAAACAAAATGGCCGATTTCAGTTTTGGCAAAAAGTCATAAAACACCCTATCTCAAAAACAAGTAAGATTAAAGGCTAAGTATAGGGTTGTTTTGAACTCAGCTAAATGTACTCTACCTCCCTTTAAGCTGTGTCCGTTTAAATCTGAAACACCTTGTATAGTGACTGCATTGTATGACAAAGAGAGTTGTTCCTATGTTTAGGTATAACAAGAAGGCTAGTATTTCTAGTATTTTGGTTATGAACATTTGAGCTTAATGTCAATTTTTTGCTAAGGTATGCTGGATTATTATGTCTCAGCAATTTGTGTACAAAGGAAGCCATATGAAGTTTTCGTCTATTAAATATATTCAGCCACCCCAATTCTTTCAATTTGTTTGAAACATGATCTCTAGATGTTAATGTAAAAATGAGTCTAACGCACGAGTTTTCAATTCTCTGTAGCCTCACCGACGAGTCTATATCTAAACATGGCCCATAAACAAAATCAGCATAATTGGTATGACTTACAGACTCACATAGTTGTATTTTTAGAGATGCATTCAAAAAAGATCTGCTTCGATATAGATTTTTTAAAGAGCAATAACATTTTTGGACAATGGAACTAACTTGCTCCTTAAATCTCAATTTAGTGTCGATATAAATTCGCAAACTTTTGACTAAGTCACATGGCTTAACTACCACATTATCAATTTCGATATTCAAATTATCTTTTATAACTTTGGTAACATTACCAATGCATATTGCTTAAGTTTTTTCCGGATTATTTTTAGCCCATGTTTAACTGAATTCTCGATTATATTAGACAGTGTTTGATTTATCTCTAAGCGAGCATTATCCAGTTTATTAACTAAGAAACTCTTGTAAATTTGAGTATCATTAGCAAATTGATCTATTGTACAGTTCACAGCATTATTGTTAAGATCCATTGTATATATAAGATAAAGAAGAGGTTTAAGAATTGTCAATTATTCTTGAGGTAGATTCATTATTGTCTATAGTCACATATTGGCATCTATGCGATAGGTAACTCTTTAATAGTTTTAACATTCCTGCAGAATAATCATAATAATTCAGTTTGGCTAAAGGAATTCTGTACCTAAGGTATCAAATGCCTTACTGTAATCCAACAAAATTAGTGTAGTAATTTTCCCCTTATCCACTATCTGTATTATGTCATCCAGCATTTTATTTAGTACAGTTCCCGTACTATGTGAAATTCTAAACCCAAACTTATTTTTGGCAAATAAATTGTGATCTGATAAATATTGTACCATCTGTGAATAATAAATTAATTTTCCCAAAATTTTGGATAAGACTGACAACTTACTAATAGGTCTTAACTGATTAATTGCTTAAGATTTGCTACTTTAGGCAAAGGGACCATGCATGCCACTCTCCAATTAATAGGAAACGAACCTTCTATTAAACAACAGTTATAAATGTGTGTTTAATGAGGCAAAATATGTGGACAACAAAGTTTGATCATATCTAAAGTTATACCATCCGAACCTGCTGAATTAGATTTTTTACTTCCTATTGCATTTAAAACATCCTTTTCCAAACCAGTTTGTAAATTGAAACTCAGACCATTTGAGACTCTGTATGTATTGTAATAATTAACTAACTCGAGATCTACTTCACATCCCAAATCTAAAACGGAATCCACAAAATAATTGTAGAGTTGCGGGGCTAATTGATCTAAGTTCCAAAAATCGTTTTTTCAGGAAAATAAGAAAAACTGCACATTAGTCAAAGCAAACCAATTTTTTTATTCTTAATAGCATAAAGCAAATGTTTAACACAAACATTTAAACGTAACTTGAAATTTTTAAAGAAAAATAAAATATTTTTGCAAAAAAAATCACAATGAAAATGGAAAAGATCTAAGTGCCAAATCTATGGTCATGGAAATGATCTATCTCCCATGATCTATGTCAGTTTTAGACACTTAGAATTTTTCTGAAAATCTCTTGGTTCTCTTCAGTCAAATACTCTAAACATAGCTTCAAGGTCTTTTTTTTGAAGTCTTCAAGGGCACTGCATAAGCTGACCTGATGTGGTGAACGTTGTATGCCTTCTTCAGTACACGACATCTCTGCCATTGCAACAGCTCACTAAAACTTTTTTTGTAAAACACCTCTCCGGGATCATCTTTGGTGATTCGCAACCATGAAGCCTGGCTAATGCCAAGTTTTGAGGTGTCAATGTATTTGGAAGAGGCTTTGTCAAAATTTATAAAAAAAAATCTCCCATATCCAGTAGCTTGAAGGGGTGTTTTGGTCTTGCAGTAAAGATACATTTCTTTACGTCTTCAACATTATTCAATTTTGAAACTCTTGCCCGTTTCTCTATTATGACAAAGTCACGATCTGAAGCAGAGAAACTGTGTCCCGAAATTAAAAATTTGTGATCAATCGTGTCGAACTTGCCAGTGGCCACGAGGAAAATGTACAAAAACAGTAACATCCGATTTTTCAACTGCCCAGCACAGTTATCACTCCATACACACAACTTGCGTTTATAGGTGGCAAGGAGTCCAGTGTTCAGGGCTTGTAAAAGGCAAGAAGCCATCTGGTTTCCGCCTCGACCAGACTGCCCTTCGTGCCAGACGCACATGATCCCATCAGCAGTGTCAGTAACATGGATGCCGAAGTTGTAGCACGACAACTGGCGACTATAATACATACTAGTATGTGTAAGTTTCGGTAGAGCAAAAACTTTTTGTAAGTCGATAGTCACGGTACAGGTGTCGCTTTCTGGTAAAGTTCTATTCCCAGCATCTTGCTTTATTGCCTTTAACACATTTTCCACCTGTCTCTGATGCAACTCAAGATGAGTTTTGGCTTGTTTTGAAACAATGACGTCTTTGCTTTTCGATTTTAAAAAGAGAGAGTCACACGTCTTGCACGTGTCAACTCGCGGTTTTCTAAAATATAACTTAGGAAAATCCTTTAAGAAAACTGATCGATAAAATTTGTATGTGACAGTAGTGCCGGGGTGTTTTATTTTGTAGGCTTTAAATAACCTGTTCATATTAAGGTCTGAACTTAAGTACTCCTTCTCTGATTTAGTCCTGTTGTAGTGGCTTTCATCCCGTGGAAAGGTATTAATATGATCCCTTACCATTTGCCTGTCCTGCAAAGTATATTTGAAATGCTTAAGACCACTGCGCTTATCTTAAAAGGTTACACAACCAGCTTTCTTCCTTTTGACGAGCGTGGTAATCTTCTGAGGTCGGATGTCGAAGATTTCCATGAAGGTTTTTTTACACACCCTCGATAAATTTCCCTCCCATTTGGGACGGTAAAACTCACTGTGCACTGTCTCCGGCTCTGTGCCTCCTCATCGTAGTTGCCATGGCGACGTCTCTGAACAGGTAGAATTTGCATAAGACCCATTAGATAACTTCCCTGTTCGTTCATCCCCAATTTGTAGTATGATTCAAACAAAGTCTGCATCATGCCCGCCATCTTTCTGCAACCATATTTTCACTTACATGACACCTAAAACAGAAGGAATCTTTATCCCATCAATATAGGTACAGTTTCCCAACCTGATACGGTTTTCAGAAAATTCTATGCATTAACGCAGAAAGATTACAATAAAATTTCAATAAAAAAAAGAAACGAATTTAAAAAATATAAAATAATTATTATTGAGTTCACACTCACCGTGGCAGGTTTGTTTTTCATACTTTTGCCAGTCACGTATTCATTTCCACTCACTCTGGCCTCACTCTCCACTTTTCTTTTACGATTTTTTGGTATATTTTCTCCCTTAAAAGCCCTCTCATCCATTTTCGCAAATATTTTCTATAACCACAAAAACTAGTATCAACAAACAAGACCGGCAGGACTCGGCACGAAACGAGAGGGGAGGGGCTTTGGCACTTAATTCAAATAGTTCTGCATTGGCCTTGGCACGTAGATCATTTTGGTGGAAAAATCCGGAATCACGAAATTTTGGCGCTTAGATCAATTAGCCCCGCAACTCTACAATTATTTATCAAATCAGGATCACTTATGTCTATTGTAATATCTACATCATTTTTACTAGAATACACATTTAGCTGTTTTGAAGCTCGCCATGTGTCCCTACTATTATCAATTTTGTTTAGTTGCTCTAGATATGCGCGCTTCTCATTTCTTACAGTCATTGTAACAAAGTTTCTTACTCGCTTATATTCATCCTAATCCTAATCTGGATCTGTGGTCCGTTTAAATTTACTCAGTAACTTGTTTCTATCTCCCTTTAGTTTACGTAATCTATCTGACAACCAGGGTGCTTTTGGTTTCGTGATTTGTACTCTACGATATGGAGCATGTTGATCAAACAAATATGTAATATTATTAGTTAATATGTTAACTTTATTTAGGGAATGTAAATAATTATTAAATTTATATATACGAGTATTAAAATTCTTATAATTTCAATTTTTAAAGTTCCAAATTTTTGATATTTTTATCGACATTATTTTTCTTGTTGAAAATCACCTCTTATCTGATAAATGCTCCACGGCCTCAGAAAACCATACTTAACTAATCAAAATGACTTGCCTACCACGGTGTTCCGGTTCTGTTCAGCTGTTTCGTTACCATTGTTGGAGACCAATTCATGTACAAAATAACCATAATGAAGAACGCAATCTAAATCTCGATGATAAATGAGTTCGCAGCGAAAGTACTTTGCGAATTTCATGGAACACTGACAATAATATAAAATTATGCGTGATACATTGCAAATAAGACAATGTGCGGAAACGTTGAGGATACGGTGTGACGTGCAATTGTAAATTTATGTATTTTCGTTGTTCAGTTCAGCTGGGGTAAGGTACGGGCCTAGGTCTTGACCACCAGCTGGGGTTATTTTTATATCTGTATTTTCACAAATTCTTTTATAAAATAAAAAACCTATTAAAAACAATAGAACAATTTAATTTCGGATACATAAATATACAAATAGGATCTTTCGATAATGTATCCTTTGGGTTGCATGCAATGACAGCTATTTTTAGCATTATTTGTATAACGGTATGATAACTCTTTTAGGAGAGTAATCAGCAACGATTTTATAAATACAATATCTAGAGAGGGCTAAAATACGGTGACCCGTTAAATGCGCCTCGACAAAAGCGCCACCCGACATTTGCGCCAGACAAAATTAATTTAATTTTAAATCGTCAAAAGAGATTTTAATATTTTTATGTTAAACTCATACATGGTATCCAATTAGTACGTAATTCTTTAATATTTTAATTTGTGTCGTAGACACGTAAACAAGTTTCAAATAAAAGTTATATGGATTTAAAAAATACATAATAATATTTTAAAAATATTTTTAAATATACGGGTTGTTGCGTTTCTGACCGGCAAATAAAAATGTACATTAATTATTTGGTAATACTGTATTCAAACCCTGGAATGTTTTAAAAAAACATTTCTGGGTTGCCAAGCAATAAATTTGTTTACAAAATTGGAGAATGATGCAGACCCAAAATTAAATTATCATAATTTGGGTAGATTAATATTGTTTCTAAAATTGCTTGAAATGCATACTTATTAGCTAATGAATAGTGTAACCTACCAAATGAACTCGGTGATTCCACCAAAATTTTAAACTTAAAAAAAATTATTAAAGTATTAACTACAATTAAAAATGTTGTCTACTACGGTTACACAAGTTTCGGCTGTTCCGGTGTCAACCTTCGGGCCTTCGACGTCGCTCAGACGGCAGCTAGGGGGTGGATAGCTTACAAGAATTCCGGAAATATTAGACAAATGAGTAGGCGCCAACTGGGTCTATATAGTGGCCAAACTATGATCCTATTTCCCCAAAAACCCAGTAAATGAGGAAAGAAATAAAAGACAAACCTCAACTTATGTTCCTTTATAAAAAAAAAAAGGAAAAATATTTACTAAATATATCAACTTTAAATTTCAACAATTTATTATGAGTTCGACAAATTACCAAAACTAATTAATTACCTAATGGCTTTAGATAATCCAAAAAAAAAAGTTGGAGGAAATTAAAGGGAAAGTTTACACCATATATGTATATGCATAACCCAAAATAAATTATTAAATGTACCAAAATATGGCACGGTTCGTCGTTAGCTTGGTACCAGGCATAACACTTGCGCAAAATATTAATTTCCACATATTGTTTTTGTTCCAGCAGCTACAACAGCAGCACCCTGTATAAAAAAATTATATTCTTTTTAAAAAACCTCTTATTCCAAACCAGCAGCAGGAACGACATCCTGGTTATAACTAAATTTTATAATAATATATACCACTTAAAATATAAAAAAAAATAAAAATACAATGAACACATAAAGGACTTTAGACACAGAGGTTATTTACTTAAACTCCCAGGTTGGAAGAGGTTACTTAATCTCTGCCCCCACACGGGTCTTCTGAGATCGCTGAACTTAATCGTTAAGTCTGGTCCATTTAATAATGAATAAATTGAAAAAGTAAAATTATGACAGTAGCCCTTAATAACTGAAGAATTACAACTTAAACGTGGAAGCAGTCCAAGTGTTCTGCGACCCGAAGTAGTAATCCTTCGGCATCAGCATTAAGTGCTTAAATTAAGAAAAAGTTTGAAATATTAATCAATTATACGATGTAATATTTGATAATACATAAGTTATGAGTGAAAGAACCCTAGAACATTCTGTGCTCAAAAGTATAAATAATGTTGAGAATACCTTGACAACATTCGGTTGAAAGTGAATGTATAGTTTAACAATGCACACATGAAACCTTCAATATAACGTATTAAAAAAAAACCTGATAGTAGGGTGTCTTCTTTCACAGCATTCCCATCTTCCTATCCAGAACGAGAATCATCCTTGTAAATCTAGCTACAAGTAAGCTAGGCGGCTAGCATACCAATGTTCTGTGTTCCCTCGATGAGTCCACAATGAAACCGTTGAACTCCGGACGATATAACCCTCTGTGTACAACTGTTGAAATCCTGAGTCGCTACCCCCTGGGTAAAAATTGTTGTCGTATCCTGGGTTAACAACCCCCTGGGTAAAACTGTCGTCGAATCCTGGGCTAACAACCCCCTGGGTGAAACCCTTAAAATATTACAAAGAAACATGTCAATACACATTGACTCAAGTATCCCGAACTATAGGATTACTCAAAAATGTACATAAACTAGAAACTATTCAGCATCTAGGATGAAGAAAAATTACATTGGCTCAACAGTGAGTCATAAACAGTATTATGAGCTCAAATAATTAAAATTCTGTTACACCATGCCATAACATAAAAGAAATTGACAGCCACATGGTGCGTAACATAACCAAATATATACAAAACATACCTTTTTCGTAAAGGGTTAACTTGGTAGCCTTCCAAGGATGAGAAACACGTGAGATGATCCACAGCACAACAATATTCCACACTCCAAATGCTGTGAACTTCCAATTATTGCATTAAAATCCTATACTAGATATGGGCTGGACCAATGACCATAGGAATTTACCAATACACTAAAATTCCCCTCAAAATACGAAATGCTCATTTACCCACAATTAACCATGAAGTAGAATCTAAAATCCCCTTTAATTAGGTAAGCCGATGGGGCTAAATATTAACAAAATTCTACTTCGACGCAAAATTCGTCCTTCTCGTGATTCAACACCCACTGACCAAAAAAAATACGTCAGCCGTCCAAAATGGCCGAAATCCCTTTTTGATAAATGTCAAGCCAAGTGGGTTCAGAAATTCATCCTCAAGAATTCCCCACTATATAACTTAAGAGACCATTTACGAAAGGTACCCTAAAAACTATATTTATATACAGTATACCTACATTTGGGAAACTGTTCCCGACAAAAATTAATACAACAGCGATCGCAAAAAAAATCCCTCACGACTTAAAATCGCTCATTGTGAAACTACCTTACCTCGGGTTCTGAGGCCGATATTGGAACGTCCTAAAAACATGACACTTGTCGGTGTTCTGTCGTCAAATGACGTTTATGTCATTCACTGTCACAATTAAAAAATATTAACCTAATACTGACAGCTATAACAAAAATAAGCAATGAAATTCTTAAAGAATGGTATCGTAAATAATCAATTACCCAAAGGTGAGACTATAATACATAATTTATATAAATTTACAACGAAACTTGGTCTATTTTTAGGAGAACTGATTTTTTGATTTTTCAATTTTTCGATTTTTTGATTTTTCGATTTTTCAATTTTTTGATTTTTTGATTTTTCGATTTTTCAATTTTTCGATTTTTCGATTTTTCGATTTTTCGATTTTTCGATTTTTCGATTTTTCGATTTTTCGATTTTTCGATTTTTCGATTTTTCGATTTTTCGATTTTTCGATTTTTCGATTTTTCGATTTTTCGATATTTCGATTTTTCGATTTTTTGATTTTTCGATTTTTCTATTTTTCTATTTTTCGATTTTTCGATTTTTCGATTTTGTTAGTGAGTCGTAGAAAAATATACTGTACAACTTCAGTGGGCTCGAAGTCACTTGTGGACGCGGCCAAAAGCACGCTGTCTCACCTAGCATTGGGTCTAGAAGAGATAGAATCACCTTCCATATAATTCATATTAGATAAAGTATTACTAATCCTGGTTTACTAGAAAATAATGCTATATACGGATACACTATTAAAATCCATTATCAAAAAACATCGGAGAATAAATTCTCATTTACAGAAAACTCTCAATATCTCAATTCATTCAGTTCCCATAATAAATTCCATGTATTCAATTGAAATCACAGCAATACAACTCTGCTTTAAAACGTACCTGCAAACTTGAAAATTA